ATGAGTCCCCTGCGGGGTGAGAAAGGTGGAATATAAAATCTGTAAATAAAATAAATAAATAAATATTGAGGATTCTCCTCTCACTCCCACCTCCGTCACAAGCATTGGTGGGGAGAAGGGAGAGGGCCTCCTTAGTGGTGGCCCCTCAGCTCATATGCATTTAAGCCTTTTGGGAACTATAATCAGGTTGCAGTGTGATGCAGTGGAGGGAGGGCCAAAGTCGACCCATGCCTGCCATTAGGAATTGTGGGAGTTGGAGTCCAAAACACCAAAGTTGACCCATACCTGCACTAAATGCACATCTCGAGTTCAAGTGGGTTCGTATGCCTGCAAGCCTTTTGGGAACTATAATCAGGTTGCAGTGTGATGCAGTGGAGGGAGGGCCAAAGTTGACCCATGCCTGCCATTAGGAATTGTGGGTGCTAGAGTCCAAAACACCGAAGTTGACCCATACCTGCACTAAATGCACATCTCGAGTTCCAAAGGGTTTGTATGCCTGCAAGCCTTTTGGGAACTATAATCAGGTTGCAGTGTGATGCAGTGGAGGGAGGGCCAAAGTTGACCCATTCCTGCCATTAGGAATTGTGGGAGTTGGAGTCCAAAGCACCAAAGTTGACCCATACCTGCACTAAATGCACATCTCGAGTTCCAAAGGGTTCGTATGCCTGCCATTAGGAATTGTGGGTGCTAGAGTCCAAAACACCTGGAGGGAGTCCAAAAAAATGAAGTTGACCCATACCAGCTCTAAATGCACCTCTTGAGTCCCAAAGGGTTCACATGCCTGCAAGCCTTTGGGAACCATTCAACGTGAATATTGTTAAAATGGAAAACAAACAGGAAAGATGCCATTTGAGAACTCCTGCTGTTGATCAGACTGAGAACGTTGTTTGATGAAGCTGCAAATGAAGAGCATTCAAGACACAGAAATCATTTTTATTACTTTGAAATGTTTCCCAAAGAGGAAGAAAGAGAGAATTGGCGCATTCAACCCACTGCAATGAAGATGGCGGACCAAAGGTTGGAAAAAGATGGCCTCCACGGGTCCCGTCCTTCCATTGTTCAGAGGCACCCTTTGGGGTTTGGCCAGATGCCCAGTTCCCAACCCCCCTCCTAGGCGCACTGTCCGGACCACATTTTATTATCCTTGTCAAGGGCCTTGCTGAAATCAAGATACGCTACATCCACTGCATTCCCTTCATCTACCATCTCGTTTGCCATGTAGGAAACTTCAAGGAAGGTTGGCCCCATGGAGGATGGGGCTGCTAACTGGCCAAGGTTTGCATTTTCACAAAGGAATAATACTATGGCAATGCAAATGGAGCAATGCTGAAGGGGACAGTGTACCAGAGTGTCTCCATTTTGTGTCTGTCTATCTTAAAGGTGTCAGAAAAGGCATACTGTCAACTTCTACTTCAGCTGCAGCCTGCCTTTCCCCACGGGAGGCAAGGGTTACAACAGTCTATTCCAAAGAATGGTTTGTGGTCGGCTGATGTGGTCGGCCTATTCCAGTAAGATGTATGCAATATATGTTTTGCTTAACTTTGGACCGTTTGCGGTGAGCTACATCCTGAAGATGTTTATGATAGAGGAAATGTTACGCCAAATAAGGGAAAGGGGGAACTTTGAAAGTTGTCAACAAGTTGGGTATATATATCGGACGCTCGTCCCAGGTCAGCGGGTAATGGTTCTTGTACCGGCATACTGTGTGTTATGCTGACTGTCCGTCCTCCTCTTGCGCAATATGAATAAACCATGTTTTGCCCTGACTTGTTTGGACTTTGCGTCATCCAAAGCCGCTTAGCCAAGGACCCAGTGGTTGGTAAGATTGGAGATACTGGCAGTTTTCTATAACAATGCAAAGTTGGGGCGGGGGGAGCTTCTGACTTCCTGGAGAGGAAACAAAGCGCTTGAACAGAGCAAAAAGCCAAGCAGAAAACTGAGGCAAGGAAAAGGTCGACCGCTCCAAGTCCCCCTTCTGCCTGGAACGTTATGCAAAGCTGGCAAAGTCCATGATGGAGTGGACTCACAGGACCTGGCTAAGAGACTTGAGAAGGTTTTTCACACAATACCCACTCTGGGGAGTTGCCCTATGTCCCTCTCTTAGCCTACATGGTTGGGGCTTAATGGAGATGTCTGCATTGGTCAAGGTAGAACTTGATCCGACTACCTGTCCACCAAGAACAAGGATGGCTAAATGGGAGCAACCTGCAATGGGAACAACCGGATATGTTGGAAGGACACCAGTCTGACTAGAAGAGATCTTGGGAGTCCTCAGAGACAAGAAGTTAAACATGAGCCACCAATGTCATGCACAACAGATCCAGGGAAGCCGCGTTACTCCTCTATTCTATTCTGCTTTGGTAAGAACTCCTGCCTGTTTGAGTCAAGTATGAATGTTGCAATTGGCCACTTTGATTAGCACTGAATGGCCTAGCAGTTTCAAGGTCTGGCTTCTTAATTTATTATTATTCTTGTCATTATCTCAACAAAGGATGCCTCCAGACAGTCAGAAGCCACACCTTGAAAACTGCTAGGCCACTAATGCTAATCAAGGTGGCCAACTGAAACATTCACACCTACCTCAAACAGACAAGAGTTATTTCTCCAACTCACCCTGGATATCATTCCACAGATATATAAACCTTGTTTGCTTTGTTTACAGCAAACCCTGCAACCTCTGAGGATGCCTGCCATAGGTGTGGGCGAAACGTCAGGAGAGAATGCTTCTGGAACATGGCTCCACTGCGTCCCCCTCTATTCCATTCTACCTTGGTCAAACCACGTTACGTAGAATCACACTGTATGCCATTCTGGACACCACAATTGATGGGAGATGTTGACTCTAAGCTGGAATGTGTCCAGAGGATGAGGGTGACTCAAAGGATCAAGGGTCTGGAGAACAAGCCCTACGAGGAGTGGCTGAAAGAGCTGGGCATGTTTAGCCTGCAGAAGAGAAGGCTGAGAGGAGACGGGATGAGGGCCAGGGATCAAGAGAGGAGGGGAAGTCAGAGTCTGCGTCTGACTCTCGTGCTCATGTCCATTTCTAAGCTGAAGAGCCAGCGTTGTCCATAGACACCTCTAAGATCATGTGGCCACTGACATGACTGCATGGAACACCGTTACCCTCCCACCGGAGCAGTACCTATTGATCTACTCACATTTGCATGTTTTTGAACTGCTAGATTGGTAGAAGCTGGGGCTGACAGAGGAAGCTCACACCGCTCTCTGGAATCGAACTTGCGACCTTTCAGTCAACAAGCTCAGCAACTCAATGCACTGCGCCACCGGGAGCTCCCGGTAGCTGGTTATAAAGTTTTATTATTACTAGGTTCTTGTGGGTTTTTTCGGGCTATCGGGCCATGTTCTAGAGGCATTTCTCCTGACGTTTTGCCTGCATCTATGGCAAGCATCCTCAGAGGTAGTGAGGTCTGTTGGAATTAGGACAATGGGTTTATATATCTGTGGAATGACTGGGGTGGGGCAAGGAGCTCTTCTCTGCTGGAGCTAGGTGTGAATGTTTCAACTGATCACCTTCATTAGCATTTGAAGGCCTGCCTGAGCCTGGGAAAATCTCTTGCTGAGAGGTGTTAAGATGTGCCTGGTTGTTTCCTCTCTGTTGTTTTGCTGTTGTAATTTTAGAGTTTTTTTAATACTGGTAGCCAGATTTTGTTCATTTTCATGGTTTCCTCCTTTCTGTTGAAATTGTCCACATGCTTGTGTGATTTCAATGGCTTCTCTGTGTAGTCTGACATGGTGGTTGTGGGAGTGGTCCAGCATTTCTGTGTTCTCAAATAAAATGCTGTGTCCAGGTTGGTTCATCAGGTGCTCTGCTATGGCTGACTTCTCTGGTTGAAGTAGTCTGCAGTGCCTTTCATGTTCCTTGATTCGTGTTTGGGCAATGCTGCTGCATTTGGTGGTCCCTATGTAGACTTGTCCACAGCTGCATGGTATACAATGGTAGACTCCTGCAGAGGTGAGAGGATCACCAAATTGGGAGGGATAGCCAATAGTCCAGAGGACAGGAGCAGGATTCAAAAGGATCTTGACAGATTAGAGAGATGGGCCAAAACTAACAAAATGAAGTCCAACAGTGACAAATGCAAGATACTCCACTTTGGCAGGAAAAACGAAATGCAAAGATACAGAATGGGGGACATGCCTGGCTCGAGAGCAGTACGTGTGAAAAAGATCTTGGAGTCCTCGTGGACAACAAGTTAAACATGAGCCAGGAATGTGATGTGGCGGCAAAAAAAAGCCAATGGGATTTTGGCCTGCATCAAGAGGAGCCTAGTGTCTAGATCTAAGGAAGTAATGCTCCCCATGCTCTATTCTGCTTTGGTTAGACCACTTTACCTGGAATATTGTGTCCAATTCTGGGCACCACAATTCAAGAGAGATATTGACAAGCTGGAATGTGTCCATAGGAGGGCGACTAAAATGATCAAGGGTCTGGAGAACAAGCCCTATGAGGAGCGGCTTAAGGAGCTGGGCATGTTTAGCCTGAAGAAGAGAAGGCTGAGAGGAGATATGATAGCCATGTATAATAAATATGTGAGAGGAAGCCACAGGGAGGAGGAGGGAGCAAGCTTGTTTTCTGCTTCCTTGGAGACTAGGACGCAATGGAACAATGGCTTCAAACTACAAGAGAGGAGATTCCATCTGAACATGAGGAAGAACTTCCTGACTGTGAGAGCCGTTCAGCAGTGGAACTCTCTGCCCCGGAGTGTGGTGGAGGCTCCTTCTTTGGAAGCTTTTAAGCAGAGGCTGGATGGCCATTTTCAGGGGTGATTTGAATGCAATATTCCTGCTTCTTGGCAGAATGGGGTTGGACTGGATGGCCCAGGAGGTCTCTTCCAACTCCATGATTCTATGATCCCTCTTGTCCTTTGCTGAACGGAGCATTTGTTGGATTTTCTTGGTGGGTCTGTAGATAGTTTGTATGTTGTGTTTCCTCATCAGCTTCCCTCTTATGAGGTCAGTGGTTCCCTTGATGTATGGCAAGAACACTTTTCCTCTGGGTGGATCTTCATCTTGACTCTCGTGGCTTGTTCTTTATTATTACTGTCTATACTGTGGAATGAATCCAGGTTGACGTCGCCACCGTTGTGGCCATGGCTCAAGGATCAACCCTGGACAGGGAAACTCTGCCAAGACGGTGCCTCACCAAACTACAACTCCTCATACCCCACAGCAAGCTGGTTATAAAGTTTTATTATTACTATCTACACTGTGGAATGAATCCAGGTTGACGTCATCACCGTCATGGCCATGGCTCAAGGCTATGGGATCCATCCTGGACAGGGAAACTCTGCCTCACCAAACTACAACTCCTCAGACCCCACAGCAAGGAGCAATGGCAATTAGAGTGGCGTTCACCCCACAGTGCCAATGCACCCCACACTGAAATTCCTATACTCTTCCTTTCCAAGCTATTAACTGGCACGGAAGAAGCAGAGAAGGGGAGATACTGCTAATGCTGCCAATCACTGCCCAGGACAGTCTCGGGAGACCCAGCTTCAGCCAAAGGATTCCAGGACAGGAAAGAAAGACACATCAAGGGATGGGAACGCAACAGCCAGGAGGAGAGGGGCAGATAAGGATGATGATGATGATGATGATGATGAAAATAATAATAGAGGGAAATCTCACACAAGGACTTCATCTCCCGTTCGGAGTGGAGGCGCCACGCGGACCCCAGTTCTGCCCAAAGGAGCCCCAGGGCATCCCAAGTTGCCGGCTCCATTGGGCTTGTTAGTCAGTGCTAGAGTTCTACATGCGAGCCTCGTGTTAGGATGGAATCGGGAAGAGAGGAGCCTTCTCTCCCGGCCTTCTGCAACACTGCGGCCCTGCAACGTCGGAGTTGCGCACAAGTCCCGACCAAGGGAGGCTCCTCTGGCCCTTCACACACCAAGCGAGGCTGCTACTTGACTTGGAAATGCCTGCCACTGGCCTTGGTTGCCTCCGACGAGGTGGAAAGAGAGTGGGTTGGGCTCAGCCTGGCCCAGGCTTCGTGCCAGGGGAGCCGCCAAGCACGGGCTAGGAGTGTTCCTTCGCTGCTTCGGTCCCCGGCGCCACCATGCGCTGCCTCACGGTGCTCGGAGCGGGGCTTCTATGCTCCCCTTCGCTCTCGGAGAAGTCCTCGCACAACGTTTGCGGAGGACACTTGGGAAGCTTTCCTGCAGAGAAAGGGAAGACTGGTGGTGGGCACAATAATAATCTCTATAAATAAAAATGTAATGCTCGTTTGTGGGATTAACAGAACTCAAAAACCACTGGGGGAATTGACACCAAATTTGGACACAAGACACCTAACAACCCAATGTATGTCCTTCACTCATAAAAACACTGAAAAACACAGCAGAAGGGACTTAAAAAGCCCCCAAAAGCTAAATGACAATACAGAAAAAAGGAAGAAAGAGGGAGGGAAGGGGGAAAAGAAGAAAGAAAGAAGGAAAAGAAAGAAAGAAAAAAAAGAAAAGGAGGGAAGGAAAGAAGAAAAGGGGGAAGGAAGGACAGAGGTAGAGGAGGAAGGAGAGCGCAGCCGTACACCTGACCTTCCGAGGTACTAAAGGGGGAAGGAGGAAAAGAGAAGGGGGGAAGGAAGAAGGAGGAAGGAAAAAAAAAGGAAGAAGGAAGGAAAGGAAAGGGAAGGGAAGAAGGAAAAAGAGAAGGAAGAAAAGAGAGAGAGAAGAAGAGAAAGAAAAAGGGGGAAGGAAGGAAAGAGATAGGGAAGGAAGGAAGAAGAGGAGGAAAGACGAGAAGGAAGGAAGGAAAGAGAGAGTGAAGGAAGGAGGAAAAGAAGGAGAGAAAGAGGGAAGGTTGGCCACAGCAACGCGTGGCGGGTACAGCTAGTCTATATAAATAAAAATGTAATGTTCGTTTGTGGGATTAACAGAACTCAAACACCACTGGGCGAATTGACACCAAATTTGGACACAAGACACCTCTCAGGCCAACAAGTGACCATCACTCATAAAAATACTGAAAAACACAGCAGAAGTGACTTAAAAAACAACAACAACATTACAACGCATCTGCAAAACCACATATATATACACAAACACACATATATACATACATATATGCATATACACACACAAAACACATACACAGAAAGGACGAAGGAAGGGAGAGAAGGAGGGATGGAAGGAGAGCAGGAAGGAAAGAAAGAAGGGTAGAGAAGGAAGGAGGGAAAGAAAGAGGAAGAGAAAGAGGGAGAGAAGAAGGGAAGGAGAGAAGGAAGGAAAAAAGAAGGGTAGAGAAGGAAGGGAGGAGAGAAGGAGGGAAAGAAAGAGGGAAGGAGAGAAGGAAGGAAAAAAGAAGGGTAGAGAAGGAAGGGAGGAGAGAAGGAGGGAGAGAAAGAGGGAAGGAAGGAAAAAAGAAGGGTAGAGAAGGAAGGGAGGGGAGAAGGAGGGAGAGAAAAAGGGAAGGAGAGAAGGAAGGAAAAAAGAAAGGTAGAGAAGGAAGGGAGGAGAGAAGGAGGGAAAGAAAGAGGGAAGGAGAGAAGGAAGGAAAAAAGAAGGGTAGAGAAGGAAGGGAGCAGAGAAGGAGGGAGAGAATGAAATAAAAAAGTTAAAGAGGGAAGGAAGGAGAGAAAGTCTGGGGGCAGAGGACTTTTACAAATCAAACAAGCAGTTGAAGAAGAAAAACACGATGCCCTGGCAGAATATGTAAAGAAATGCCAAGAACCTACTCTAATTGAAGTCAATTAGAGGGAAACTTCTCAAAGCACAGCAGACAAAGAGTCGGTACAAGAAAACTGTACTCCAAACCAGAGATGACAGATGGCACAACAAAGCATGGCATGGGCAGTTCCTTGACAAAACTGTAATTAGAGGTTGCTAATAAGGACTGAAAAGTAAACTGTGATCAGAACTGGGACAGTGATAACAGAAACATTTACAATGTTAAGAAGGAAGTCAACATAAGATCAACACCAATCAAGAAGCTCAACATCTGGCCAGGAAACTGAGATGAAGCCAGGATGGAAGACGTCTATCATTCATTTACAACTTTGGGATGACATAAGCAGAATATTCCTATAAAAGACTCAGTCTAATAATGCTCAAAGTGTGGCAGACCTGAGGAGTCTGGTTCACCCGCTATACTCTGCTCCATGGGAAGGAGAGAGATAGTGTACCTATGGAGAGTGGCAGATCTGCACTTTGGGGCTTCTTTCTCAAGGGAAGAGGAAGAAGTACACTTTTGGAGTTTTAGATTTTGTGCAGGGAGTCAGGTTCTGCTGTGTGGAACATAGAACTCTGGTCCTTGGCATTGTGCTTAGGGAAAGAAATATTGTCATTTTGCCATTTTGAAGTTATGCAAGTTATGAAACTCTATGTTGGAAGGCTGCAGGAAAGCAAGGTCTCACCTAACAGGTTACATCCTGTATAGATTACTGCAACACTCTCTACGTGGGGTTGCCTCTGAAGACGGCCCGGAAGCTTCAAATGGTCCAGTGTGGAGCAGCCAGGTTACTAACAGGAGCGGTGCTCAGGGAGCACACAACTCCTCTGCTGAACCATCTCCACTGGCTGCCAGTTTGCTACCGGGCTTTGGCCTATAAAGCTCTAAACGGTTCCGGCCCAGCCTACCTATCTGAAGGCATCTCTTCCTACGAACCCCCCAGGAACCTAAGATCGTCTGGGGAGGCCCTGCTCTCGATCCCGTCTGCATTGCAAGCACGCTTGGTGGGGACGAGGGACAGGGCCTTCTCTGTGGTGGCCCCTCGACTGTGGAACTCCCTGCCTAGGGATATTAGATCAGCCCCCTCCCTCCTGACTTTCCGAAAAAGAGTAAAAACTTGGCTCTTCGAGCAAGCATTCGGAACCCCGGAATAAATAGACAAACCAGAGGTGGAAAATGACCCAGGAACGGCCAAGACAATGTAACGGATGAAGATTTGAACGGGAGGACATGGTTCTTTTTTAAATTGTTGTTATGCACTCTTTTATGTTTAATTGCACTTAATGTTTTTGCTTTATCAATGTATGTATTTTTACGGCATTGAATGGTGCCAACTGTGTATACCGCGAGTCGCCTTTGGGTTGAAATGGGCGGGATAGAAATAATGTAAATAAATAATAAATAATAAATAAATAATAGGTGAGAACACAGAAATGCTGGACCGCTCTCACAACCACCATGTCAGGCCACACAGAGAAGCCACTGAAATCCACAAGAAGCATGTGGAGAATTTCAACAGAAAGGAAGAGACCATGAAAATGAACAAAATCTGGCTACCAGTATTAAAAACTCTAAAATTACAACAGCACAACAACAGAGAGGAAACAAACAAGGACATCTAATCACCTCTCAACAAAAGTTTGCTCCAGGCACTGTCAGGCCATTATATGCTAATCAAGGTGGTCAGTTGAAACATTCACACTTAGCTCCAGCAGACAAGAGTCCTTTGTCCCACCCTGGTCATTCCACAGATATATAAACCCTTTTTCCTAGTTCCAACAGACCTCACTACCTCTGAGGATGCTTGCCATAGATGCAGGCGAAATGTCAGGAGAAAATGCCTTTAGAACATGGCCATATAGCCCGAAAAAAAACCTACAACAACCCAGTGATTCCGGCCGGCCATGAAAGCCTTCGACAATACAAACAACAGGTGCTTCTCCAAGGAGAGAGAAAAGGATATGATAATATTTGGATGCCTGACGATAAATGCATGTATATGTGTGTGAATGCTGAGTGAAAATGTCATTCCCCTTTGTCTGTTTGTTAGTCCAATGTAACTGTAAGTTGCTGTACATCCAATATAGTTGCATAGAATCTGTATGTCTAAATGTTATTCTGTAATCTGACAGACCCTCTCACACTGATTCTAATGCTAATAATGATGATGATAATAATAATAATCTCCATTCAGAATACAGTATATGAAAGAGAAATGGGTTTTGTGTTTAGACATTAGGCTTGGGTGACATCCCGTATAGACTACTGCAACGCTCTCTACGTGGGGTTGCCTCTGAAGACTGCCCGGAAGCTGCAATTAGTCCAACGAGCGGCAGCCAGATTACTAACAGGAGCAGGGTACAGGGAGCATACTACTCCTCTGTTGCGCCAGCTCCACTGGCTGCCAATTTGCTTCCAATCACAATTCAAAGTGCTGGTGTTAACCTATAAATCCCTAAACGACTCCGGCCCAGTTTACCTGTCCGAAAGGATTCTCCCGTATGAACCATCAAGGTTGTTAAGATCTTCTGGAGGGGCCCTGCTCTCGGTCCCACCACCCTCGCAATCGCGTCTGGTGGGGACGAGGGACAGGGCCTTCTCAGTGGTGGCCCCTCGGCTCTGGAACTCTCTCCCACTGGAGATTAGAACTGCCCCTTCTCTCCTAACTTTTAGAAAACTGGTGAAAACCTGGCTTTGGAATTTAGCATTTGATGAGTGAGTCAATAACTTTTGACCACACGGACGGATGGCGATGAATTATGACTTCATTTTGACAACTGGCATTATGTAATTATATGATCGTATTTTAATGTTTTAGTGAATTATGGGATGTGATATTTTAGAATCCTAGAATCCTGGAGTTGGAAGAGACCTCATGGGCAATCATCCAGTCCAACCCCATTCTGCCCAGAAGCAGGAATATTGCATTCAAATCACCCCTGACAGATGGCCATCCAGCCTCTGTTTAAAAGCTTCCAAAGAAGGAGCCTCCACCACACTCCCTCCGGGGCAGAGAGTTCCACTGCTGAACGGCTCTCACAGTCAGGAAGTTCTTCCTCATGTTCAGAGGAAGTTTTAAACTACTGTTTATGAATCTTTTTGTTGTGAACCGGACAGAGTCCGTCTGCGGAGGTTGAGAAGACCGGTATAAAAAAGTTCTAAATAAATAAATTGGGTGATCAAGAAAAAAAAATGGTTCTAAACTCTTTTCGTATATAGCGGGCGCTGGCGTTTCGATTTTGAAATGATTTCTGAAATTTTCTTGAAAAAAAGATCGGAAATAGCAGAAATCTGAATTGCTTCGTTAATGGAAGGTGCCCCTCCCTCCAGAACCATTAACTTTGGCAAAGTCAGAAAGCCTAAACAGTTTTAAAATCTCGCAGTTTTTTCTGAACAAAAATATGTTGTTGGTTTGAAAAGCATTTTCAATATGACAAAACCCTGGATGGCGGCGAACGGCGATGCAAAGAGGGGCATGGCCTTCAGGAAGAGCTGTTCTTAACTGGAGGTGGGACCCATGTCTAATAGGCTTGGGTTTGTGGCGCAGCTGGCTGAGTGTCAGCTGCATTAAGATCACTCTGACCAAAAAAGGTCATGACTTCGAAGCCAGCCCGGGTTGGAGTGGGTTTCCAACCAATTGTGTAGCCTGTTGTCGACCTTTGCAACCCAAAAGACAGTTGCACCTGTCAAGTAGGAAAATAAGGTACCACCTTAAAGTGTGGGGAGGCTAAATTAACTAATTTATGAGGCCATTAAAAAAAAAAAAGACTCCAGCAAGCACTCCAGCAAAAAGCATGTGGGGAATGCGGAAGTGCTTCATCAGTGTCGCAGATGGACGATGAAAGCGACAGCTCACCTGGCGGCCAGAAAAAAAAAAGTTAAATATAGCCTCTGTCTATGTCTGTATATGTTGTATGTCAAAATTGGCACTGAATGTTTGCCATATATGTGTACACTGTAATCCGCCCTGAGTCCCCTGTGGGGTGAGGAGAAGGGCGGAATAGAAATGCTGTAAATAAAAAAGTAAATAAATGAATAAGCCACGCCCACCTCGTCCCTCTTTGCATCGCCGGGCGTGCAAAGCCACATCAGAAAATAATTCCGAACGAGGGGGATTTGGACTCCCTAATTTTAAACTTTATCATGAAGCAAATGCTCTCATTTGGCTAAAGGACTGGATGGCTTTAAAAAGAGAGAAACTCCTTACTCTAGAAGGCCATGACCTCCGTGTAGGCTGGCACGCCTATTTGTGGTATGGAAGAGAACAGAAGGAAAGAAACTTTGGAAATCACTTCATTCGGTCCTCGTTAATCAGAATTTGGGAGAGATATAAAGAATATTTTTATTCTAAAACCCCTCTTTGGATCTCCCCTATGGAAGCTAAACAAAGGAGATTACTGGGCTGGATGACCTGGCCCACATCCAAAGAACTCTTAAAAAAGGATTCAATGGTTTTGAAGTCCCTTGAAGAAGTCAATCAGAGTTTCCCTAAAATTACCTGGTTACATTATTTGCAAATAAAGGAACAATATACCCAGGATTTAAAACAAGGATTTCAGATTAAAGAAGTATTTTGGGATAAATTTTTAAAGACAGACATGAAATGCATAACCAAATTATATGAAAAATTATTAGAATGGTCAACGGAGACCGAATTAATTAAAGGATGCATGGTCAAATGGGCGGAAAATTTTAAAAGACCTATTGCGATGTGGTTCAAGATTGGGAAAGGCGTACGGCAAGGCTGCATCCTCTCACCCAACCTCTTTAACTTGTATGCAGAACACATCATGCGATGTGCGGGGCTGGATGAATGCAAGGCTGGGGTGAAAATTGCTGGAAGAAACATTAACAACCTCAGATATGCAGATGACACCACTCTGATGGCCGAAAGCGAGGAGGAGATGAGGAGCCTTCTAATCAAGGTAAAAGAAGAAAGCGCAAAAGCCGGGTTGCAGCTAAACGTCAAAAAAACCAAGATTATGGCAACAAGAATGATTGACAACTGGGAAATAGAGGGAGAAACCGTGGAGGCCGTGACAGACTTTGTATTTCTAGGTGCAAAGATGACTGCAGATGCAGACTGTGGCCAGGAAATCAGAAGACGCTTCCTTCTTGGGAGGAGAGCAATGTCCAGTCTCGATAAAATAGTCAAGAGTAGAGACATCAGACTGGCAACAAAGATCCGCCTAGTCAAAGCCATGGTATTCCCTGTAGTCACCTACGGATGTGAGAGCTGGACCTTAGGGAAGGCTGAGCGAAGGAAGATCGATGCTTTTGAACTGTGGTGTTGGAGGAAAGTGCTGAGAGTGCCTTGGACTGCGAGAAGATCCAACCAGTCCATTCTCCAGGAAATAAAGCCCGACTGCTCACTGGAGGGAAGGATACTAGAGACAAAGTTGAAGTACTTTGGCCACATCATGAGGAGACAGCAAAGCCTAGAGAAGAAAATTATGCTGGGGAAAGTGGAAGGCAAAAGGAAGGGGGCCCACCAAGGGCAAGATGGATGGATGGCATCCTTGAAGTGACTGGACTGACCTTGAGGGAGCTGGGGGTGGTAACGGCCGACAGGGAGCTCTGGCGTGGGCTGGTCCATGAGGTCACGAAGAGTCGGAGACGACTGAACGAATGAACAAATTGCGATGTGTGACTGGGAAATTATTTGGAAGAAAAAATTAAAGTACACCTACGCGATGGACTTAAAGGAAAATTGGCTAAAGATGTTTCATAGGTGGTACATGACTCCAGTAAAATTAAATTGTATGTATAAGAATGTATCAAAAAACTGTTGGAAATGTAACGAACATGAAGGGACGTTTTTTCACCTATGGTGGAGCTGCAGAGAAACCCAAAAATATTGGAAAACTATACATGAAGAAATGCAAAAAGCACTTAAAAAGAATTTCCCAAGAAAAGCAGAATATTATTTGCTAGGAATTGTAGATGATGAGATCAAATTGGATTCTAATGAGGATATTTTGTTTACATATTTAACAACGGCTGCAAGAATTGTCTTTGCCAAGATGTGGAAACAGAAAGACACTCCAGGAAAAAACCACTGGATAGATAAAATAAATGAAATAAAAGATATGGATATATTGACTTTTCTTTTAAAAAAGAATACCGGCAATATAATTAAAGAGACGAATTGGTCAACGGTTGAAGAATATATAGATAAATCTATATAAAGAACACGAGGCTATATGGACGATTGGATGGAGAACCTTTTTCTTTGTTGTTTTTTTGTGTGGTTCTTGCTATTTTTGATATATAATCAATGACACTGCCTGAGCAGAATCAGAAGGGAGTCCTTTTTTTTTTCCTTTTTATTTTTCCTTTCTATTTTTCCTTTTTTGAACCTTCCAGTTTTTTTATTTTTTCATTTTTTCATTTTTTTTCTCTTTTTTTTTCCTCATTTTTTTTCTTTTTTTCCCTTGGGATATTTTTGGACTTTTCTCCTCTCTTTCACGGGGTTTGGTGGGGGTATTTTCCTACTTTTCTATCTTCTTATATTATTCCCCCACTTTCGTTGTATTTTATAAAATTCAATAAAAAACTTTATCAAGAAAATAATTCTGAACAATGGGGAAGTTTTTCCAGTTCGGAATTGCTCCTCCCACTATTCCTGCATGGCTCGAAATTGGATCAAAAGGTAATTTAATCTGAATTAATTACAATTTTAAAAGCTTACGAACGAACTTACCCAAGCCTATTAGACATGGGTCCCACCTCCAATATATCTCATTGCGTAGTATATACAAATAGAGGCATTCCAAAATAAGAAATCCAAAACACTTCTGGTCCCAGCCAATTGTGGAGAAGGTATGGTCTCAAGACGTGCACGTTGTTTCAAAACAAGGGACAGGGGAAATGCCTTCTAATATATTCTCCTTGGGCCAAGGAATGAGCCCTGGGCCAATTCCACTCAACTTAGTGCCAGTTTGGCTTTTGATGTGGAGCAGTGGAGAGGACACAAGAAGACAAACGCCCTCCCCTTGTATTGCCACCTGTTTCCTGCCTGAACTAGACAGCACTCTATCTCACAAAGGAACCAAGTTTCCTGCTTTGTGGTTTCTTTGAAGGGTTGTTTGTTTCACAACTTTGTTGTCCAGTCAGAACTGAGAACTCAACTTACTTTGGTGCGGATACTGCGGCGGCCTGTGCTTTTTGGAAGGGCAAATGCAATCTGCCAGGAACACCATGATCTGGGGGAAGAGAAGAAGCAAAGCACACAGTAACAGCATGACGCTTTATGCAAACGCCCCCACCGCGTGCCCCTCTTCCCGCACTGCCATGACTTACGAGGCCCAGCGTCAGCCCTGAGAAGAGCGTCACGCAGGCGAAGATGGTGTAGGATCCCCAGGGCGGGAGGCCCAGGCTTTCGGTGAAGTAGTTGTGGCATTGCTGCAGGGGAGAGGAGGGAGAGCGTGAGGAGGGGGCCCGGAGCCCAAGGCACAAGGGGGAAACAAGGGGGCTTTTGGGGCACCTACCCGGATCCACATGGAGAGCTGGAAGAGGGCAGACATGCTGCTCATCCTGGGAAGGAAGAAGCAGAAGAGAAAGAGAGAAGAGACAAAGCAAAGCATCGTGAAGATACGCCAACCAGAACCAACCTTTAGGGCAGTGTTTCTCAACCTGGGAATCGGGACCACTGGAAGGTCACGAGGGGGTGTCAGAGGGGTCACCAAAGACCACCAGAAAACACAGTATTTTCTGTATTGTCAAAGGCTTTCCCTGGTCATTTCACAGATATATAAACCCAATTTTCCCAGTTCCAACAGACCTCACTACCTCTGAGGATGCTTGCCATAGATGCAGGCGAAACGTCAGGAGAAAATGCCTCTAGAACATGGCCATATAACCCAAAAAAACCTACCACAACCCGCACTATTTTCTGTTGGTCATGTGGGTTCTGTGTGGGAAGTCCAACCCAATTCTATCGTTGGTGGAGTTCAGAATGCTCTTTCATCATAGGTGAACTATAAATCTCAGCAACTACCACTCCCAAATGTCAAGACCTATTTTCCCCAAACTCCACAAGTGTTCACATTGGGGCATATTGGGTGCTTGTGCCAAGTTTGGTTCAGATCTATCATTGTTTGAGTCCACAGTGCTGTCTGGATGTAGGTGAACTACAACTCCAAAACTCAAGGTCAATGCTCACTAAACCCTTCCAGAATTTTCTGTTGGTTGTGGGAGTTTTGTGTACCAAGTTTGGCTCAATTCCATCGTTGGTGGAATTCAGATTGCTCTTTGATTGTAGGTAAACTATAAATCTCAGCAACTATAACTTCATAATGTCTAGGTCTATTTTCCCCAAACTCCACCAGTGTTCACATTTGGGCATATTGAATATGCATGCCAAGTTTGGTCCAGATCCATCATTGTTTTGAGTCTACAGTGTTCTCTGGATGTAGGTGAACTACAACTCTCAAACTCAAGGTCAAGGCCCACCACACCCTTCTAGTGTTTTCTGTTGGTCATGGGAGCCCTGTGTGCTAAGTTTGGCCCAATTCCATCATTGGTGGAGTTCAGAATGCTCTTTGATTGTAGGCGAACTATAAATCCCAGCAACTGCAACTCCCAAATGTAAAGGTCTACTTTCCCCAAACTCCACCAGTGTTCACATTTGAGCATATTGAGTATTCAGTTGGGTCCAGATCCACCATTATGCGAATCCATAGTGCTCTCTGGATGTAGGTGAACTACAACTCCAAAACTCAAGGTCAATGCTCACCAAACCCTGGTGAGCTGCCTAGTCAAAAGCGCACCAGAACATCCAGGTTTTTAGTTGACTCCGAAAGGAGGACTTTAATATTTAATATTTTTAATCTATATAAATAAAAATGTAATGTTCATTTGTGGGATTAACAGAACTCAAAAACCGCTGGACGAACTGACACAAAATTTGGACACAAGACACCTCTCAGGCCAATGCGTGACCATCACTCAGTGGAAAAGGACTTAAAAACACAAAAAAGCTAAATGTCGAAAAGCTAAATGACAATATAGGAAAAAAGGGAAGGAAGAGGGAGGGAAGGAAGAGAGAGAGAGAGAGAGAGAGAAGGAAGAGAAAGAGGGAGGGAAAGAGAGAAGGAAGGAAAGAAGTAGAGAAGGAAGAAAGGAC